TGATTACCCGTCTGTAACTTAAGTCCAGTGATAACAACATGATACTGACGTGCTGCGAGGATCCTTGTTTTTCATTATTTTTACTGTTTTTGACAGATATTTGCCAACGATGCCGAGTGGTGTAATGTGTTCGTACTCAGCATACAGCTGCACGTTTTTCCGGCTGACTACACTACGCCGCGTACGGAATGATAGGTGACCGGCGTGGAGCGACACTCCAATAGTCTCCTTACATCGGTCAATCAGCAATTTGTTGAATTTATGAGGCCACCTGCCTGAAATGCGCCATCTATGAATAGGGAAAAATATCATGCTTTTTTTCAGCTATTTGCTTTCACTCAGTGACATGCTAATTTTCCGCGCAAAAGGTGGGAGAATCTTCTCTTCGCAACCTCATTCGCATTTATCCGGAAAAAAATAACAAGCAAAGATAAAAACACAGTGTGACGTTTTTCGGTGAGCACCGGTCGCGAATTGGCGTCGATCACTCGGCTAACACATTGAGCTTGCTGATAGATATTCTCAGCTACCTTGGAGCACTGGTACAGACGACTGCGTTCATATTCATTCAGTTTTGCGGCTCTGTAACAGAGTCTGGACTAACCCCAACAATTGTTGGCAATCTTCCGGCTTCGATGAAGCAAGCAACCGTGAAATGCAACGAACCGCTGTTTGGCGACAGCCGACATGATGCCGCTGATACCCTGATGTACCCAGCGCTCGTACAGCTGTATCCCGGCCTCCGTCGATACTGGGATGCTCAGCTTCTTGCCATCATAGTACTGTGCCCCAGGGATTCTTGCACGTTTAAATGCTTCCGAGCTGCACACAGTCCCTTCAAGAATTCACTTATTGCGTGGAAACCGAGCTGCTTATCACTTTAAAATACAATTATATCAATAACAAATAAAAGCGGCAACCTCAGAACTTACACAATCGCACAGACACAGTCAGATATGCTTTCACACAAACACATTCATGCTCAAACACACACATTTACAGACGCACACACGCACACACACGTACACACACAAGCATACACACACATACACATATACAAATACGCAAACAGATTTTTGGCAATACGGGTTTAATCAAAATCGCACAACGCATAAAATCAAACAAAGCCACTTACTTACAGCGAGTAAATATAGAATTGCTGATGCTAGGTACAGCTGCTGATATTTCATCAAAATCATCAATACCGTCAACGGAGCTCCTTGTTAGCGGCTTGGTAACTTTTCCGATTATTTTGACCAGTGCTGCATCACATGGTGCTCAGTGTGGTTATGGCGCCCGTTATGTACTATGCTTCACGATACTCTCTAAAGTAAAATCAAAATACTTTTAATTTTACTTTAGAGAGTATCGTGAAGCATGAATTTTGATTTACTGAGAACAGTTTATGCTTCTTTGGGTGTCTCAAAAGTGCGGAACTCACAGAAACTCTTGTACTTGGTGATTCATATGCACTTCTGAGGCGACTAATTCTTGCGGAAAATAACTTCCGAGGAAATATCCGTTCAGGAAGAAAATAGGAAAATCACCAGCAAATGAGATGAAAGCAGCACAACGAAAATTTCGCTCTCTTCGAAAGTTGTGCCGTTTTCATACTTTTCGCAAGAGTTAATCACCTCAGAAGTGTTTTTGAATCCAAGCACAAGAGCTTCTGTAAGTTCCGCACTTTCGAGACACCCATAAAAGCATAAACTGTTCTCAGTACATTAAAATTCATGCCTCACGATACTCTGTAAAAGTAAAATCAAAAGGCAAGGCATGTTGCTCGTCTCTTCGACAATTGGTAGAGAAAGAAAACCAATGAAACGGGACCTGGTTATCACATAAAGCAGCTCTAATTATTAGTAATCTTGT